AGAAGCATTTTTAACCTGTTTATCTAGAGACTGTTTTAATTTAAAGCTGTCTTTTCCCCTAGCTGAAGCTGTGCTGCACAGCAGGGGGCGGGACACAGGCCCATGTGTGAACAACCTTTTTTTGTTCCTTTTTTAAAAAGAAAGGGCTCCAGATCTCAACATAGATGGTTGTAAGCCACCACGTGGTTACCAGGAATTGAACTCATGACCTCTGGAAGAGCAGGCAATACTCTTAACCTCTGAACCATCTCTCCAGCTCCCTCTTTAGGTGAAAATTTCTTAAGCTAGTAGCCCCAGCGTTGCTCATCCTGCCCGCCACGGCAGGCTATTTTGTCTGCCTCTGTTGCCCAGGATACAGGCAACCTCGCCGCTGGCATTCCTGCACAGCCCGAGCGGCTCCCCAGCTATGGCGCGCCTCGGATGTGGCGCACGCCTTTTTCCTGTTGGCTTAGCCACTTGCCGTAGGCCGCTATGTGCACCTTGGTTGTGGTGTGTGCCCGCGGGCGGTTTCTGTTTGCCTTTTAGGCCGTCCCTGCACCTGGCCTGTGCCATCCGAGCCACCTGCCTTGGCCTGTCTGTCATGGTCCCCAAGCCCAGCTCTCAGGGTTTTGCGGCAACGCCGTCTCCTCGGTTGAGGTGGCAACACCCGCATGGTCCTTTGGGGTCCGCCCAGCTGCCGCCGTTGCCCCCCACATTGGGGAACATCGGGCACTGTCCCTCCAAGTGGGGCCGGGGACCCAGGCGCCCTCTCGGACTGCCCTCTGGCTGAGCCGCGGCCCGGGCAGGCGCTGTTCTGCGCCGTGTGCTGCTCCCTCCCGCCTGCGCTTGCTCGCACTCATGCCTTTAGTAAATTTTAACTTTTGAATCTCAAAACTCTTAGTAGGACTTATGGATACTGTTTTTTGAATCTCCTCTCAGCCCGAGGCCCACATTTTTACAAGCCATTGGCCATTTACTAGTCACCAGCTACGCTGGGCCCTGTTGCCTAAGAAACGGATTCCCATCGGGCGCTAGCTGCACCCAGCCTGTTCTCTTTAGTAAAAGTTAAAGTTCCCTGCACATGAGAGTCAGGGACTGAGCTCTATTAAAAAAAATTAGGCAGTTACTACCTACATAAAAGAAAACTGTCTAAGGAACTCACGTATGGTCTACATTAAAAATACCGGTGCTTACTTACTTCCCTTGCTTCTCTACAAGCATTATCAAATGGCCCGAAACCGGACCCTGCACCCATTTGGAGCCAATCCACCCTCACGCTCTCTGTAAACTTGCTGGCCAGACTTTCCTGAGGGTGACCACATGGATTCTCCTTACCCCTCAAAACTCGCAGATGGTTTTGCAGATGAGAGTTCTTTGGTTGTAGCTGCTTTTGATCTCACTTGGGCCTCGATTTGTGGTGAGCGTTCCACGCCACGGGGTCTGTATCACCACCCACCAAGTATGGACTGCGACTCCATACCTTCCACGAGCTGGATAATGTCCTAGGGGTTAAACAGAGATGCACACACAGAGAGACCCAGGTCATTTGCCCAAAGGGTAAATGTCAACTTTATTCAGCGAAATTCAGGGTTAATATACTAGGGCCCAAAAGAGGAGAGCTCCCTCTCAGTCAGGAGTGGGAACAAAGCAATGAGAGCCTGGAGCCCATGTGACAGGTTCTTCCAGGCAGGGGGTACTGAGCTAGCAGTAGTGGCAGACAGATCAGGCACCTCCGTGAGATCCCTCCCTTGCAGGTGAAATTATCATGCCAAAAGATGAATAAGGCTCTATGCTAAATCCCCACACTGGTAGAATCAAGCAGAGGAGAAACAGGAAGCTTGACTGGTTGTGTAAACAGTCCTGTATAGCACCTTGAGGAGCAGGGGAGAACCTGGGATTCAACCAAGGTAAGGTCTCTGAAGATCTGAGCCTGTTCATGCCCATCACAGAATTTTTGATCAATTTCATGTCAAAAGTTACCAGTCACCACATTTTGTCATTCCTCCAACATGTAGTTTCATACTTTTATTTATATCTCCCAGGTGGTTTTATATCAACATGAAGATTGCTTGTATCCAAATGATATTCACTGTGGAGATATTAATACTTTGCCCATCAGAAGCACCTTTATAGATCATGTTAAAAATATTGGCACTAATACTAAATGCAGATAGCAGGGGCGAGTTAGTTTATGTTTAATGATGCATTTTCTGTCAGAGATAGAAGTTGAACCTGATACTTGCTTCTGACCCAAATTTCACTCTCCCCAGCATTTTTTCTAATCATAGCAGTAGGCACAGGGAAGATAATTAATTAATGAAGAAGTTTTTATTCATGCTTTTCGTGTTCATAGAGCAATCCAAGGAGATCAGGCTATACAGATGCAGCACAGTCATGCCATGTCACAGTGCGTCCAGGTGATAGACCATCTGGGTGATAGCACATCCAGGTTATACACCATGCAGGTGGGAGAGCATCCAGGTGGTAGAACATGTAGGTTATAGACCATCCAGGTGATAGAGCATCTGGGTAGATAAGACAGCAAGCAGGCAGCTGATGAACCCTGGCAGTGTGGTGATTATGAAGGGAGCCAGTGACTTGTGCTCTAGAATCAACTGAATGGTGTTGGCCATGGAAGCAGAGTGTGCTGTCAGATGAGGTCACAAGCACCAAAAGCAACTCTAATATTTAAAGGAGTGGGTCAGGAAAGGGGAAGCAGGTGAGACATTGACTGTTGGTGGTAGGGGCCAAGAGGAACGGTTCAGAGATAAAATCTACCTTGAGGGGTAAGAAATACTTTCAGTTAGATAAGGGTGGTGACTGCACAATATTGTGAGTGTAGGAAGGGCTGGTGAACAAATTACATCAAAATGTTTAATGTAATGATCATAAACTTTCATCCTGTAAACTGTATGAATATAAAATTTTTAAATTATTTTTAAAGTAACAGAGTTAGGGCCTGGGGAGATTAAGTAGAGCTTCTTCCATGCAAGTATGGGAATCTCAGCTTGAATCCCCCAAACCAGACAGTAGACATCCATAACCAAAGTGTTAGTATGGTAGGATAGCAGGTGGAAACAGATGAGTTGCCAGTTCACAAGGCAGCTAACCTAAAATACACAAGATCAAACAAGATGTCCTTCACCAAAGAAGACAAAAGCTAAAGGGAAACATCCATCCTTTGGTCTAGACACATGCACCAAGCACACTAGTCCTCATAAATGTGAGGCCCTGTCCTCCCTGTTTCTCGAGGCCAAAACACAGGATGCAAATAATGTTTACTCTAACCAGCTAATCTTCCTGCTAAGTTTCGTGTTTGCTTTTCCTACAGCCTGATACAATAGCCTGAGTAGTCTATATTACTTTAAAATGGTAATTTCTCAACCTGCCTGAAAGAAGCTCAGGCGCCAAGTCCCATCTCCCCTGTCTGGCACTGCCTTGCACCCTGGACCACCTGTCTGAGAAGGAGCTCTCACAGACGCCAGTTTCCCCAGCCCCCTCTGGGTGGGAGGAGTTTTCCTTTACTGGGGCCAAAAGTATTTAACCCTGGATTAAGATAAATGAATTGGGCATTCTTCTCTCCCTAAAGGATGACTCCGAACTTTCTATATGTGTCGTATCCATCTGTGTTTCACCTCTAGGGCCTTGTCCAACTCATGGAAGGTATGGATGGCGCAGTCCATACCTGATGGATGATGATACAGACCCCGCAGGTGGGGATGCTGCCCACACATAAAGACAAACACATGCACACACACACACACACACACACACACACACACACACACACACACATACACACACACATACACATACACACACACGGGGTAAAGAGTAGTCATTATGAAAGAGAACCTCAAGAATACCAATTTTAGACCATGTCTTGTAATTTGGGGTCTTAAACAGTGTACATATGACCCATTAAAAGAACACCAGACACTGTAACACTGAAGATATTAAAGACACCAGGAACATTCTTCAGCTTTATAAGTAAATATGCTTGCAAACTGAACCAGCCACGGATACCTGTGGAGATCTGATTTTGATACCATTTCAGATGTTCTTCAATGATTCTGCTGCTCTTAGATGCCACTGGTATATGCCAAATAGCCTTTCCAAGGATGTTCAGCAGGGCCAGCTTTTGTGTACTTTTCTTGTTTCTCAGCATTTTCTGAAGATACAATTTCCCTCAAGTTTTCCTTCCTTCAAAACTAAGCCCAATGTGCGTGTTAATTCAAAATGTCCATAAGCGATCCTGATTCCTCACGATAAGGGTTTAAACAGAGTTCTGACACTTAGGGACTTTACCAGGGGCAGAAAATAATTATCTGATCCAGTACGTGAGCATTAACATAACTGGATATAATTATTAAAATTGTTATCTTTATGGGTACACATTGCCTCCCACCAACATCTGAGAAATAATTAATAGGATCGACATATCTGGCTATAGATTTGGAAAATCTTTGTCAGTCATCAACCCATATAAAAAAACATAAGGACTCCATAAATTAGTCCTCCAAAGAACAATTAATAAAATAAAAATATATGCAACAAACCTAAACTGAAAACTCTCAATAGGCAAACTTAAAATGACTGAAAGACATTTAAAAAAATTTTAATTATAACATCTTTAATCATTGGAGAAATGTGAATCAAAATAACTCTTGAGACTCTATCTTATTTTAAATGACATGATCAAGATTAAACATTGCTCATAACTTGTACTTAAGAGAAACTCCTCCACCACTGGTGGAAATGCAAACTGGCACAGTTTGGATTTTTAGAAAATTAGGCAACAAATCATCTCAAGATTTAGCTAAACCCTTTTGGGTCTGTATAACCTTTTAATCTATTACAGTTTCTAACTTAAAACTGCTGAGGCTGCACTGCACAATGGGGGGTGGGATGCAGACCTGCTCTGCTCTGTCTGCAAACTACCACCTGAGTTTTGGAGGGCGGATTTTTAACTATCTTTTGTACCGCCAAGGCCTGGCTATTGTGGCTTTTTGTGGGCTATGCACCCAAGTCTCTCCGCCATCCTCTTGGGGTGCACGCCTAGCGTTTTTTATTTACCTGTCTGCCCAGGCACCGCCACTACCGGCATTGTGCCCTGCCCTAGGTTTTTGCGGCCCGCAGCTCACCGGCTGCCTTGGGCGAGGGAGCCAGCATACGCGCAACTGCCTTTTGCATCGCTGCCGTTTGCTTGTGGGCTCTGCTCCCTTTCTGCGTCTGGTCAGTGTGGCTGTGCCTCCCAGATGAGTTTACACTTGCGGCTGAGTGTACCGGCACACTGCTGCCTTTTTACCCTCCCCGGCCTGTCTGTAATGGTCCCGCCGGCCGCCTGTGCTCCTCCCCGCACCAACTGGCAGCCTGTCTCTCTGTTCCTAAGTGCATCTTGCAGAACCTCAGTCGCAGTGAGGGGCCGAGTGCGGTCCTGTGACCTGCATTCAAACATGCATGGGAGCTTTCTAGTCTCCCTGACAGACAAGCTCTGTGAAGCTGTTCGTTTCTCAAAAACTATTAATAGAACTTACAAATATATCTTTTAAATCCTCTCTCAGCCTGAGGCCCGCACCTATATGGGCCCTCGGCTATTTATTTTGCTAGTCGCCAGCTACATTGGCCCTGTTGCCTTGGGAACCATGTTCTCTTGGTAAAAATTAAAGTTCCCTGCATGTGAGAGCCAGGGACTGAGTTTTAAATTAGTCTAAGCGGTCTCTAGAGCAGTGTCATTTAATCCTGGTGCCTAGTGTCTTTATGAAATTTAACAGCTGATTTGCCCACTGGCCTTCAGCTCCAGATCAGACCTTTCGGCACCCATACTTCTACACATCAAGCTTATTCACCCCCTAATTACACGTGCACAATTGCACACTATAAAACTGGCCAGATTCCTGATCGTGGGGGGACCCTCACCTCTTGGGATTCTCGTGGTGGGTCCACAGACAGCAGAACGCGGTTCTTCAGTCCTTCTTCAAGGGCCACCGAGGGACGCCATCTGTTAGCCTCCGCACTTTTCTGTGAATACCCAGGCCCGATTTAGGCGCATGCTTTCCTGAACTCGGTCCACGAGAATGGACGATTGTCCTAAGGGTTTAAACTGACACACACAAAGAGACCTGCTCACTTACCAAAGAGTAAATGGCCACTTTATTCAACTCAAGTTGGGTATTTATACCAGTGGGCAAGAGGGTTCAAAAGGTCACGGCCCCCTCCCATCAGGAGCAGTGGAATAGGATGACAGGTGCCTGGCGCCTCAGGCAGAACCAGCTGGGGGAGCCAGGCATGGCAGGCATATAGGGCCCGCAGCTGGAACCTTGTTTACAGGTGGAATTACTATAACAAAAGAGAGCCAAGTTCTTTCTAAACTATACCCTCAAGTCAGTGCTAGTGCAGAATCTCCAGGGAGTCAGAGGTCAAACAGCCCTGCGAATTGCCAGGAAGAAGGAAAAAAGACCTGTGTACCTACACACCACCACATTCTAGTTTGGCTCCTTCTTTCTTTCCACTCTCAATGAGATCAAGTATTTTATTGTGTTGTTCTTTGTCAATCTAATTGAAAGAAATCACAAGAAAAAGAGAGATAATAAAGATAATATATTGCAAATGAAGACTTCAAAATGCCAGAATATTCATATAAAATCCAATGTTCCAAAATTGGTGACAGATACTTATCTAATTTTTTGGTATGTTTTTTCTCATGAATTAGGAAAGAAACCTAAAAAATATTTACATTCAGTGTAGTTAGGTAAGCATAGAAATTTGATGATATGAGAATATAAGAAGGTTTCTTACAACTGCTGTTTATTCACTTTGAAAGAAAACATGTTAATGATTGAAATCTTAGTCCTGAGTGAAATAAAAGAGTGAAGTGAAAAAGAAGACCTTGACCTAGTTTCAGTGGGTATGCCACTCAAGAATAGATGTTATTGCCTGGAGAAGACCACCAATCTTCAGAGATAGAATCTGTGTATTCCTAAAATATACGTCTTTCCTCACATCCTGTTGCTTCTATACCAGATTTAGTAATTCAGATCAGTAGATTTTATCCTATTTTGCAACAAGTCCTGCTTATCACCTTCATGCTTCAAAAGATGAGTTATATCTAAGCATGTGATCAATTACCATGGCCATGAAATGTTTTGACTACTAATTTGTAGAAAGATTTTTCTTTGTGGTGCAGGAGAATTGTCTGTATTCTGTTCATCATATTTTAAATAAAACGCAGATTGGCCAGGCAGGAGGTGTAGGCGGAAAAACCAGACAGGAAGTCGAAATGATGCAAGGAGAGCAGGAGAATTCTGGGGAGGAGGAAGTTGATTCCTCCCACTCCTGCCCAGATCACCAAAGCAGCAGGATGTGAGCTGCCCCACTGAAAAAGGGACTGAGCCACATGTCTAAAATAGATCAGAAAAATGGGTTAATCAAGATATGAGAGTTAGCCAGTGGGAAGCCTGACCTAATGAACCAATGAGCATTATAACTTACGGAGTCCTCTGTGTCATTTTCTTTGGGGCTAAGCAGCTGAGGGGCTGGGCAGGACAGAAATCTGAGCAAGCAGGCCCGGCCTTCTCATGTTACATCTTTGGGCAACCAGTTCACAAATAATGATGTGCAGTCTTATTATTAATTATGAAAGCTTGGCCTGAGATTAATCTTGTCCCACCAGCTCCTATAACTTAAACCAAGCCATTTATGCTAACCTACATTTTAACTCATGGCTTTTTGCCTTTCTTTCATTCTATATGTCTAACTCTTTACATGTCTCTTGGCATCTATTAGCATAAATACTGCACCTTGATTCTTCTTCTTCCTCTGTCTCCCAGGAAATCCCACCTATCATCCCTGCCTAGCTATTAGCCATTCAGTTCACATAAAAATACCTTCATACAATGTTCAAATATCACACAACATTTCCCCTCTTTCATGTAAATAAAAAGGAAAGGTTTAAATCTAATACAGTAAAACTATATACAATAAGAACAATTATCAGGTAAGAATTATATTCATAAAGTCCAGTCCATAGCATTTGGCAAATTCAGAGAAAATATTTCATTATTTACTCTGTCTTGGTGGTTCCAATCTTTAGTTCACCTAACTCATTTTCTATCATAACTTATATTATCAACCTAAAACTATACTTTTAGACCTCAAAACATTATCTTAGATAAACAACTTAAGCTTTGTTTCTCAACATTATAAGCTTTATACCTCTTTTGTGAGTTTCTTTTCTGAATTTGGTAACAAGGAAAACTGTAACAATAACTATCTATTATTTAATCTTCATCAGATAATCAAAAGGGATATGATATTACCTAAGTAAAACATGTGGCCAGGCATCCTTTTGATACCATATCAGTCTTCCTCAGTACAGCTGAGTTCAGCTCAGTAGGTTTTATAATACTTTCTAACATGTCCTGTTTGCCATATTTGTTTTTCAAGAGATTAACTAAGCCTAAATATATGGCAGTTTCCACAGGTGTACAATGTTTCAACTAATATTTATGTAAAAAGAGATCAAAATTCTGTTTGGTAATATCAGAATGACCCAAGTCTCCCTACAATGCAATAGAATGTGAAGTCTTCCTGTTACATAAGCTCTCATACAAGTGGTTACATGAATATCTCTTGTGTTTGATATCATTGGTGAAAACAGTCTATCTGAGATAGAATTTGGTTCACACTAAAGAAATGGATATCAACTCATTGGTGAAAACAGCCTATCAGAGATAAAATTTGGGTCATACTAAAGAAATGGTTATCAAAGTACTACAAAAGGGTCAGGATTTTGCCTATTGAAAGTGTCTCTTGTTGTGACTTAAAATTAGCATTTTTCATCTTGTTGGATTCTCCCAATCTCCTCAGTCTTGTGAACATCAGACGTGATCCATGACATACTTTCTAACTGAACTTATCTCAGTTTCAACAATCAGGCAGAGTAAATGCTAACTAATATCAGTTATAATTTTAGAAATTTTGGCACAGAATATGGTACCATTTTTCTATGAAATTTCTTATGCACATCACTCAAATGGATTTCCCCCAAGAAAATCTCTTCATTTCTAGCCTATTGTAGAATTGTAACTGGCTTTCTTGGACTCCCAGTCCCCAAATCATTATATGGATTCGTATTATTAGTTATGAATGCTCAGCCTTAGTATAAGTTTGTCCCATTAGCTCTTATAACTTTCATTAACCAATTTTGCTTCATTTACATTTTGCCTCAGAACCCTTTACCTTTCTTTCATTTCATATATTCTATTTTCCTGCTTCCTCACATCCTACTGATTGCTGACTGCCTGGTTGGTCATAAGCATCTCTCTCTTTTTCTCCCTCATACTGAAAATTAACTAGATCATGTCCTCAAAGCTCACTATTTATCAGTTCTTGTTTCAAATTTATTTCACTAATTAAAGTATTTGCCTCTCTTTTATCAGAGAACATATCTGGTGACAATCTAATTCTAAAATATCTGCTAAAGAAATGGAAATGTATTCATATTAAATTTTCAAATTTTTTTTCAGTTAGATTTGTTTATTCAAGTATCCGAAAACACTCTTTGCACTTCCTCCCCTTCTCCCAATACCCTCCCCCTCCTCCCAACACCCTCTCGCCCCCCCCACTCCCTCTCCTCCTCCCTCACCATTCTCAAGAGTAGTCAGGGTTTCCTGCACTGTGGGAAATGCAAGTTCCTCCCCCCTCCCTCCAGGTCCAGGAAGGTGAGCATCCAAACAGGCCAGGATCCCAAAAAGTCAGTCCATGCAGACGAAACAAGACCCAGTGCCATTGTCAATGGTTTCTCAGTCTTCATTTGGACCTTGGGGGCTCAGTCAGCCCCCATGTCAGCCACATTCAGAGAATCCGGTTTGATCACATGCTCGTTCAGTTCCAGTCCAGCTGGCCTTGGTGAGCTCTCATTCGATCAGTCCCCTTGTATCAATGGGTGAACGCACCCTTCGCGGTCCTGACTTCCGGTGCTCCACTGTGGGTTTCCGTCTCTATCTCCATCCATCGTCGGATGAAGGCCCCCTCTGAATTTGCTTTCCTTGCTCACAATCTCCCTCCCTCTGCTTCTCATTTGGACCTAGGGAGTTAAGTCCAGTGTTCCAATATGTGTCTCTGTCTCTATCTCCATCCATCGCCATATGAAGGTTCTGTGGTGACATGCAAAATATTCATCAGTATGGTTATGGGCCAAGGCCAGTTCAGGCACCTTCTCCTCTGCTGCCCAGAGTACAATCTGGGGACCTCTCCTTGGGCCTGGGAACCCCTCCAGAATCAAGTCTCTTGCAAAACCTAAAATGTAAAACCCTTAGTTGAGATATAAACTTCCCTGTTCCCATAACCATCCTTCCTCCCTCCCACCCTCCCATTCCCCCAAGTCATTCCCAATCCTCCCCCTCTCCCCTCTCCCTAACCATCTCCCCTTACTTCCACCCCCCCACCCCCCCGTGCACCCAAGTTTGCCTGGAAATCTTGCCTACTTCTAATATCCAGGAGGATAACTATATGATTTTCTTCAGGTTCACCTTCTTATTTAGCTTCTCTAGGATCACAAATTATAGACTCAAAGACCTTTAACTATGGCTAGAATTCACTTATGAGTGAGTACATACCATATTCCTCTTTTTGGGTCTGGGTCACCTCACTCAGTAAAGCGTTTTCTATTTCCATCCATTTGCATGCAAAATTCAAGATGTCATTGTTTTTTACCGCTGAGTAGAACTCTAATGTGTATATGTTTCACACCTTTTTTAACCATTCTTCTATTGAGGGGCACCTAGGTTGTTTCCATGTTCTGCCTATTACAAATAGTGCAGCTATGAACATAGTTGAACAAATACTTTTGTAGTATGATAGGGCATCTCTTGGGTATATTCCCAAGAGTAGAATTGCTGGGTCCTGAGGGAGGTTGACTCCCAGTTTCCTGAGAAACCACCACACTGATTTCCACAGTGGCTGCACAAGTTTGCATTCCCACCGACAATGGATGAGTGTTCCCCTCACTCCACATCCTCTCCAGTATAGGCTATCATTGGTGTTTTTGATACTACTTACTTCTAAGGGGAGAAGTTAATTGTTACTTTTATAACGGCTTTAGCTTTCTATTTAATAGACATTTAAGAATATACAACAAAATCAACATGGCACTAGCTATGTCAGTGTACCATACAGTTTGTCTCATCTCAGTGTATAATGTGTGTGGGTCCACAGTTTTAAGCCTGTACTACCTTAACGGAGGGTCACAGAGTTTGAGCTTATTTTTGCTCTTTCAAAGTTGTTGACAACAGGTGTGGCTACACAGCCTGACTCAGGGATTGGTTACTTTTGTTTTGGACATTAAGATGGCCCATAGAGGTGATTCACTCCATCCAGACCAAAGATCAGAGAATTTAAGCATACTCCTGCTCGTTCATTTAAAATAAGAGGTTTGGCATAGGGAATGACTGTCTACAGCATACTTGGTCTAGGGTATGTTCACTGTATATCCTACCTGATACATCAAATGTTTTACTCAGGAAACAATGGCTTGATTCCTCAAGTACTGAAGTAAGTAACTGTTCTGATTATCTTTTGTGTCATGTTAAAGCAGTCTTTTGTCTTCTTTCCCTCCTTTTGTATTGGGGAATAAAAGTGTATGAAAAATAAGCTGGGCAAATTCAATATTGAGTATTCACTGAGTTGCCCTCCCTGTAGTATTCTGTGTCTCTGTTTTTATTTTGTACCTCTTTTCCTCCTACCTAACATTTCTAATCCACAAACCTCTATCCTGGAATGTATGAATCCATCATGGCTGGACCACGGCAGAACTCACCCCAAAAGGTGGCTTATGACATAGTGAGTCCTCAAGACATATATTACTATGTTCTCGTTATTGATAAGAAGATTGAGTAGAGGAAAGTTCAAACTTCTTTTTCAAATAAAAATCCTGATCATTCCAAGTATATGCATGTACGTGCATATGTATGTGTTAATGTATGAAACAAAAAATGAGTACTTTATAAAACAAATATCCTTATATAAACTCTAATATGTAATATAAAATAAGTAACACACCTATTATAACTGCTGAAAAACTCAAATACAGTAAGTTGGTAATCATAAAGAAGAAGAAACTCCAAAATTGTAGAAATAGTTTTTCCTATACAAATAAATATGGTTTTGCCTTCTCCATACCTATTTGGTTATAATACAGTACTAATTCTCAAAATCGGTTTTTAAAGAATTGGTGACTAAACCAGGAATGAATGAAATGCTAGGCAAGTGCCTTCTCTATGACTCTTCCTATAAGCTTTTTCTTGTTACAGACAGAAAAACATAAAGAGATGTAGAGAGAAGCATTGAGATGCCTAGAATTTCCCTCTAGCACTGACCAGATTCCCAGCATGCCTGTCTATTCTACTTGCACAGCACTACTTGCACAAGCAGCTAAGAACTCACAAAGCCCTGTGCTAATAATCTAGAAGATGGAATTTTGTGCTTTCAACTTCTGTGAGTTAATGTTTTAAGTTTGTTCTAATGTATTGCCCTTGTAAATTATGAAATATTAAAATTCAGTTTTTGAGGCTATTGATTTCTTTCCTGGTGAAGGAAAATATAGGCTCTTGTTCAGTGTTATATATTACAGATACTCATGACTTCTCTTTTTCCATAGGTCCTCTAAGTATGCACCACTGTGCCATCAGTATAGCATTTATCTGTCTTCCGTTCATCTACTCTCACCATCTTCTATGTTTTGACTCATATATCTAACGATAAACATATTTCATACTTATGTATACAGACCAATAAATACTTAGAGTGTGGAACAGTAACAACAAATACACTCAGAACTATATATTTTTCTGGTCTATGTGAAACACAAATAGAAATCTGAAAAATTACCAAACATGATAAAAAACATAAGTACTTCTATATAATCCCTGAACTCATTCATAAAACACTATGATATTAAAACAACACAATGATTCCTTCACTTGACAGTTACCTTATTTATGTCTTTGGGGTTTCACTACTCCACATTATTTTTGTACTAAAGCTTTTCTATTTGTATACTTTTGCTAAGTAGAAAATTATAAGACCTTTTTGCAAACAAATTATGTCCAGAGAAAGCAGTGACCATGTCCACTTGGATATTAAGACTTTGCCAAGCTTCTTTCTCACTGGTAGCAATATACCCTAAGCATTTAATTGAATTTAAGTTTTATTTATTAAATAATTCAAGTATGAAGTTAGGTAACAACTCAATAGTGAGGCACTTGAGGAGAGTAAAATATTTGTTTTGAGGTTTTCCTGTTCACTGTTGGGTGCTCAGTAGCATCCTTTCCTCTGCTCAATAGTTTATGTAGATCCCTTTCAATTTTATCTGCCTCCAGATAAGGTCAGTGGCCCCTATTGCGATATCCAGAAGAAAGGGTAAGCTCAGAATGTCCAAGAGTTTAAACAATGGCCCATGAAAGGTGTGCAAGAGCAAAAGTTTACATTGGGGTGAGAGAAAAAAAAAGGCATTCATATTTGCAGTTGATGTAACTACAAAGAAGAAACTCAGAGATCCCACGGGGTGTCTGGCTTTTGATAAATAGAAGGAAAAGCTTTTCTGGTCCAGAAATCAGGACCTTCAAAAATACTTAGGATATTTTTACATCAGAGAAACTGAGGACCCTGTAGAGGATTGGGAAGTGCCCGACTGCTTATAGAATGGCAACTAAGATGATGAATTGATTATGAGGAAGAATTTACAAATATGTATACATTTCCAGACTAAAAAATGCATGTAGGAATTAAGAATATTACCAATTAAAGTATGCAAGAAATATTCCTTCCTTTTTGTGTGTTATGTGAGTGCAATGTGCAGGTGTGTGTGTTTACATGCATGTATATATAGGTAGGAGCAAATGCATTTACATGTGTTTGCACCTTCATGTTGAATAAGTGTATACAGGTGCACATACATATATGTACATGTTTGTGGATACCAAAAGTTGACACTGAATGTCTTCTTCAACGGTTTTTAGTCTTTTTCTACAGAGGGAACTCTCTCATTGAACTCAAAGCTCTAACTAGTCAGTTATTATATGGGTGTTAGAATCAGAACTCTGGTCTTCAGGATTGTGTGACAATTTTTTTTATGTGTTGATCCATCCCATTAGCCCTTCTTTCTATGCTTTATTCCCACCATGGCTCCTAGAATATTTCTAGATACAAAGGAAAAATCGGCATAAACAAAACAGATTTATCTTTGCTGTTTTAAGTAAGAATAGTTAAATCGCCAAACCAAGATAATATCAGCTACCAATGAGCAATATTAGGAAGTTACTTAATACTATCTTACGTAACAATAATTAGACCTAAAAAGATTAGTTTTACATCCAAAATACTTGCCTTTCTGATGTTTACTCACCTGAGGACCTTGATTTATTCCTGCACTCAGAGGATTTCCAAGAACATATTTCTTAGCCCACTCAACACTCCTTTTCACAAACTCATCATAAATTGACTCCTCAACAAAAAGCCTGGATGCTGCTATACACATCTGTCCCTGGTGGAAGACCACTCCTTGGTGTGCAAACTCAACAGCATTGTCCTCTGCAAAGGAAACATTAACAGGAGAGGAAGAACGTTTTCTGAAGATTACAAACACACACACACACACACACACACATATGTTTCAGATGCAATAGGATGATAGGAAAAATGATGAATCATCTGATGAGACATAGATTCACTACATTGCATGGAAGCCACAAAAGAAATAGACCTTTTGATCCTTTATTTATGATGGCAATGATAGCCAGGGAACTCTGATATGATGGTGCCTGTTATGATTTCTGAAGAGCATATATTTGATTAGAGGATAAAATATCATTGCAAATTATTTACAACTACTTCTATTTTATGATTCTTTAGTCAGTTATATTTCTTTTAGGTTTCAGTTTTTAATTAACAGAAGAAAACTGAATTATCTATTGCCTCAAGTAATTTCAAGCATTACTAAATACTTTTCTCAATAAAAAAAAATGTTGTCTTTCTGAAAGTTGCATTAAAACACCTAAAACTCACTACATCAGAACAACTCACCCTCCCACCCTTACTCAAGGAAAAATATTTCTAAAATTTAACTAAAGCCTTAACCACACAAGCATACTAAACTCAGTTTAGATGCTCCAATGGGCCAAGAGTTTTATATGAGAATATTTTTAATTCTATTCAAAAAGATGTGTATTTATGAGGTGTGTGTGTATGTGAACTTTAATTTTATAAATGAGGACTACTCCGTTCATGTTTGTAGAACTTGGGTGTGAAACTGTGAGCTAACAGTAGTTGTTGAAAGTGCAATGAGGAGAGGTGACAGAGAGTGACAAACTAGACATCATGCTAACAAAGTAGTAAGTCCTAATATTTCCAGTAAAGATACCAATAGTGACAACAGCAAATTCTATGGAGCCTATGTTTATAGCCTCATTTTACGTATGAGCCAAGGAACGATGAGTTAAAGGAATACTTTTCTCAATGTTTTATTGATTTTTATTGAACTCTACATTTTCTCTGCTCTCCTCCCTGCTTCTACCCTCCCAACATTAAAGAAATTCTGGACCACAAATCTCAGCTAAGTCACTACTACTAAGGAAGTAACATGAGAATTTCATTTGGTAATAAAATCATAGTAATCTGGATCATTATTAGTAGGGTCACATCAAAATGACAAATAACAACCCTTAAAATGGAAAGAGAGAGAGAAATGACTTCACAGGTTCAATTTTTTCTGGCCCTATTGAGATGATGAACCAGAGTGAAAACAGAGAAATAATAGAAAGTTGCTGACAACCAGGATATGATACTTTTGGTTCCAAATGTCTCAAGTAACTTGTGCCCTCGATACAATTACAGTTATGGAATTATCAAAACTGCATCATATATTCTACATGCAGCCCACTTATACTACCTCAGTTTGACACTGGGAAGTAGAAATCTATCCCCACCCAGGACAAAATCTTCTCTGTGTCTATCAGCTGTGTGCTACAGGACATTTGCACAACCATTTAATTTTATTTGGAGAGACATGACAATGTTCATGGGCAGATGTAAGAGCTGACTTCATGTGTGGACAGATAAAAGATTATTTTCATTTTTGTCAGAACGTCCTCTCTGGATTTGATCAGAAATACCCCAAGCACCTCATGTATTGACTTCTCGTCATTTTAATGACATTCAGAGAATTCTGTTCAGTCAAAATAGTATTCTGCCCAACATCTAAATCTTAATACTCTTCCTCTTTTTTTATATCCTCCCAGTCTGGACTGTCTCCAGGTTGGTCCTTTACTTGTATCAGCTCTTGGCACAGATCCTCTTTGAGCTTTGTTCTAATGAGAACAAAAATTGATTCTTTTCTCCTGGTCCCATAATGCTCATAATAATCTTTCTGAGTCAGCTTCAAACAATGTTATGTCTATCTGTGTAAATCTCACAAATACCAGGTCACTACCTAATTCTCCACTTATTGATCACAGCATCCTCACTCTCATTATTGCCCTCTCTTCTTCCTCCTCCTCCTCCTCTTCCTCCTCCTCCTCCTCCTTCTTCTTCTTCTTCTCTCTCTCCCCCTCTGTCTCTTTCTTTCTTTCTTTCTTTCTTTCTTTCTTTCTTTCTTTCTTTCTTTCTTTCTTTCTTTCTTCCTTTCTTTCTTTCTTTCTCTTTCTCCCTCTATCTCCCCTAACACTATTCCTCTTCTTAAACACATGTTGCTTTTCACAAAAAAAGAAATTGGCTTTGAGCCCTTTGTTCCTACTACACTTAGCTGGAATCCCACCATTCTCATTTCTTCTTTAATTCTAGTTGCTTCTTCAAAGAAAAACACATTGCTTTTGTTTTATTTTATCTGTGGATTCTGTCCTGCCTATTCATTAACTATGATTATTTTATTTTTGACTTTGGTATCCTGTTTTGATTACTATTGATCCTTCTTTATATATATTGAGAGTACATTAAGTAAGATGGTATATTTTCTCTTTTTGAGGCAACCATTATATTTTGTTTCTCTTATTGACAGGCTTTCTATTTCACCAGAAAAATAAGGTAATTGTTTAATTGTAGATGTGTACATCCAGATGGCTAACAAGAAGTGTGCTTGAATTTTCACAGAAAACAGCAAATGATTTTTAGCCTACAATTTCAATTTTTTGCACATGTAGCCAGTGCCTGCCAGCACTAAAAAATGACTGTGTTTTCCTTTGTGACTGGAGGTCTATTTTAAAGGAATGTAATAAAAGTTTCACTACACTGGGTCTCGTTGTTGTTATCACCACGAGAGATACTGTCTCTGCCTCTTACACAATTGCCAGTATTTTTAAAGAAAAAAACAAAAAGAGTTTGAGTAGGACTAATACTATTTTCGTTCACTCTGGTGTCTAAAAGCATGCTAACATGTCATTATTCAGTATTAATTCACAATCTGTTGTACATCTTTTTGTGGCTAACACAGAATAGGAGTCTTCAAGACTAACCAGGCAAAGGTGAGAGACTAGGTATGCGACAAGGACATTGAAGCCCATGACTACATCTTAGACAATGAGAACACAGATGGGAAGGCTTTTAGTTCATGATTCCCTCCGACCTAAAGATGCTGGCATCCAGGCAGCACAGAATCAATGGGAGTCAGGGAGAGGAGCTTATGCCCTTATTCATGCCAAAGCCTGGGCAGATGTAAAAGACAATCAGGAGATGAGAGGGCACATTGACATCTCCTAAATTAATGTGAGAAAGTAAGTGGGAGGAGAAAGCAGAAACTAAGAATGCTTCACAAACGTTTTCCTGAGTGCTCAGCAGGGCGCTAAATATCTTCTACCAACTCTCACTTTTATTGTTTGGAACTGAATAAAGTGGGAATTACAGTCCCTGTGTTTCTCAAATAAGGAATCTCAAATTGGAAAAGGATTCTTCTGTTTTTCTAAGGCACACCCAATTTATTTAAAGTCAGAAGTTCCCTCATTCTCGAATTTCACTGTTTCCTTTTCAGAAGGTAAATGGGCATAGAGATAGCATTACAGGAGTAGCAAAATGGCACCAATTTGAGAATTAGTTAAGACAACCACACAGCAAAGCTGCTCCCAGGTTCAAGGAACATCAGCCTCAGGCAGAGGCAAACTGGAGAAGGGAGCCTAGGATCTGGGCTCAGATGTGCTCTTCACATCCCTAGTGCAGAGGATGTGGAATTCTAGGCTTCCTTCTGTCTGCCTGTTCTATCTACCTTGTTATAAACCTTATTGTCTTACTGGCCGTGTCCTTGCTTTACAGAAGCTTCTCAGTTTCAGTAGGTCCCATTTATTCATTGTTTCTCTTATTGTCTGCGTTCCTGGGGTTCTGCTTAGGAAGTGGTCTCCTGTGCCTATATCTTGTAGACTACTTCCCACTTTCTCTTCTATCAGGTTCAAAGTGGTCGGATTAATGTTGATGTCTTTAATCCATTTAGACCTGAGTTTTGTGCATGGTGATAGATATGGATCTATTTTCATTCTTCTACAGGTGGACATCCAGTTATGTCAGCACCATTTGTTAAAGATGCTTTCCTTCTTCCATTGTATACCTTTAGCTCCCTTGTCAAATATCAGATGTTCATACGTTTGTGGGTTAATACCCGGGTCTTCTATTCGATTCCATAGGTCGACTTCTCTGTTCTTATGCCAATACCAAGCTGTTTTCAATGCTGTTGCTCTGAAATAGAGTTTGAAGTCAGGGATGGTAATGCCTCCAGAAGTTCCTTTATTGTATAAGATTGTTTTGGCTATCCTGGGATTTTTGTTTTTCCATATAAACTTGATTATTGTTCTCTCAAGGTCTGTGAAGAAGTTTGATGGGATTTTGATGGGAATTGCATTGAATCTATAGATTGCTTTTGGTAGAATTGCCATTTTTACTATGTTGATTCTCCCAATCCAAGAGCAGGGGAGATCTTTCCATTTTCTGGTATCCTCCTCAATTTCTTTCTTCAAGGACTTAAAGTTTTTGTCAAATAGGTCTTTCACTTCATTGGTTAGAGTTACCCCAAGATATTTTATGCTATTTGTGGCTATCATGAAAGGTGATGTTTCTCTGATTTCCCTATCTGCTTCTTTATCTTTTGTGTATAGGAGGGCAACCGATTTTTTTGGAGTTGATCTTGTATCCTGCCACATTACTAAAGGTGTTTATCAACTGTAGGAGTTCTTTGATAGATTTTTGGAGGTCGCTTATGTACACTATCATATCGTCTGAAAATAACGAAAGTTTAACTTCATCCTTTCCAATTCGATCCCCTTGATCCCCTTATGTTGTCTTATTGCTATTGCTAGAACTTCAAGCACTATATTGAAGAGGTATGGAGAGAGTGGACAGCCTTGTCGTGTTCTGATTTTAGTGGAATGGCTTTGAGTTTCTCTCCATTCAATTTGATGTTAGCTGTCGGCTTACTATATATTGCTTTTACTATATTTAGGTATGATCCTTGTATACCCAATCTCTCCAACACCTTTATCATAAAGGGGTGTTGAATTTTGTCAAATGCTTTTTCAGCATCCAATAAAATGATCATATGGTTTCTTTCTTTCAGTTTATTCATATGATGGATTACATTGATAGATTTGCATATGTTGAACCAGCCCTGCATCACTGGGATGAAGCCCACTTGATCATAGTGGATAATTTTTCTAATGTATTCTTGGATTCGGTTTGCCAGTATTTTATTGAGTATTTTAGCGTCAATGTTCATGAGTGAGATTGGTCTGTAATTCTCTTTCTTGGTTGTGTCTTTGTGTGGTTTTGGTATCAGGGTAACTGTAGCTTCATAAAAAGAGTTTGGCATTGATTCTTCTGTTTCTATATTATGAAATACATTAAGGAGTATAGGTATTAGCTCTTCTTGGAAGTTTTGGTAGAATTCTGCATTGAAACCATCTGGTCCTGGGCTCTTTTTGTTCAGGAGGTTTTTAATAACAGCTTCTAATTCTTCACGACTAAGAGGTCTATTTAGATTGTTCACCTGGTCTTGTTTTAACTTTGGTAAATGATATTTATCTAAAAACCAATCCATTTCTTGTACATTTTCCAACTTTGTGGCATATAAACTCTCGTAGTACGATCTAATGATTCTCTGAATTTCCACTGTGTCTGTTGTTATGTCCCCCTTTTCATTTCTGATCTTATTAATTTGAGTGTTCTCTCTCTGTCTTTTCATTAGTTTGGCTAGGGGTTTGTCAATCTTGTTGATTTTCTCCAAGAACCAACTTTTTTTTCATTGATTTTTTGGATTGTTTTCTGTGTTTCTACTTTGTTGATTTCAGCCCTCAGTTTGATTATTTCCAATATTCTACTCCTCCTGGGAGAGTCTGCTTCTGTTTTTTCCAGAGGTTTTAGGTGTGCTGTTAAGTCTCCAATATGTGCTTTCTCCGTTTTCTTTAATTGGGCACTTAGTGCTATGAACTTTTCTCTTAGCACTGCTTTCATTGTGTCCCATAGGTTTGAGTATGTTGTGTCTTTATTTTCATTAAATTCAAGGAAGACTTTAATTACTTTCTTTATTTCTTCCTTGACCCAGGGATGATTCAGTAGTTGATTGTTCAACTTCCATGAGTTTGTAGGCTTTCTGGTGTTCGAATTGTTAGTGAATTCTAAATTTATTCCGTGGTGATCCAACAAGACACAGGTGATTACTAATATTTTTTTGTATCTGTATAAGTTTGCTTTGTTACCGAGTATGTGGTCAATTTTCGAGAAGGTTCCATGAGCTGCAGAGAAGAAGGTATATTCTTTCCTTTTTGGATGGAATGTTCTATAGATACCTGTTAAGTCCATTTGATTCATTACTTCTAGTAATTCTCTTATTTCTCTGTTGAGTTTCTGTTTGATTGACCTGTCCATTGGTGAGAGAGGTGTGTTGAAGTCTCCCACTATTAGTGTGTGTTGTTTGATGACTGCCTAGAGTTCTAAAAGTTTTTCTTTTGCATAAGTGGGTGCTTTTATATTAGGGGCATAGATATTCAGGATTGAGACTTCCTCCTGATTAATTGTTCCTGTTATGAGTATGAAATGTCCATCTCCATCTCTTCTGATTGATTTTAGTTTGAAGTCAATTTTCTTAGATATTAGAATGGCCACACCAGCTTGTTTCTTAGGTCCATTTGCTTGGAAAACCTTTTTCCAACCCTTTACTCTGAGTAGATGTCTATCTTTGTGGTTGAGGTGTGTTTCTTGTAAACAGCAGAATGTTGGATCCTGTTTTCTTATCCAGTCTCTTACTCTGTGCCTTTTTATAGGTGAGTTGAGTCCATTAATATTAAGTGATATTAATGACCAGTGGTTGTTGATTCCGGTTATTATTTTTTTGGTGTGTGTGTGTGTAGTAGAGTTTGTGTGTTTCTCTTCTTTGAGTTGTGTTTGTGAAGAGTCGCTAGATGTCTGGGTTATTGTAGGCAGTGATGGCAATGTTGGATTCCTTGGGTTGCTATTTTCCTTCTATTACTTTCTGTAAGGCTGGATTTGTGGCTACGAATTGTTTAAATTTATTTTTATCCTGGAATATTTTGCTTTCTACATTGATAGTGAATGATAGCTTGCCTGGGTATAGTAGTCTGGGTTTGCATTCATGGTCTCTTAGTTTCTGAAGTACCTCTATCCAGGATCTTCTGGCTTTCATGGTTTCCATAGAGAAGTCTGGTGTAAGCCTGATAAGTTTACCTTTATAAGTCACTTGACTTTTTTCCTTTGCAGCTCTTAATATTCTTTCTTTAGTCTATATGTTTTGTGTTTTGATTATTATATGGCGAGGGGACTTTTTTTTGATCCAGTCTATTCGGTGTTCTGTATGCTTCTTGAACCTTCATAGGAATATCGTTCTTTAGATTGGGAAAGTTTTCTTCTATAATTTTGTTAAATATATTTTCTGGGCCTTTGATCTGCAGTTCTTCTCCTTCTTCAATCCCTATTATTCTTAGATTTGTTTTTTTTATTGTGTCCCAGATTTCCTGAATGTTTTGTGAAGAGAATTTGTTGGATTTGCCATTTTCTTTGACCAGAGCATTTATTTTCTCTATGGTATCTTCAGAATCTGAGATTCATTCTTCTATCTCTTGTATTCTATTGGTTATGCTTGATTCTGTAGTCTCCGTTCGTTTACCTAGGTTTTTCATATCCAGCCGGTTCTCGGTTTGTGTTTTCTTCATTGCCTCCATTTCAGTTTTCAATTCTTGGACTGTTTCCTTTACCTGTTTGATTGTTTTTTCTTGGTTTCTGAGGGTATCATTCACGGATTTACTTATTTCTTCAAACTTTTTGTTATATTTTTCATCCATTTCTATACTCATTTCTTCAAACTTTTTGTTAT